CGACAAATATTCTTCCAAACAGTGATGGAAATCATTGCTGTATGGAAATCATATTGCGGGCTTGGTGAGCGGAAGCGCAGCTCAGGCCGTCGTGCTCTACTAGCACTAGCAAAAAGAAAATGAGGTAATAAATAGAACAACTGGCCCACCGACAAGGTGTTGTGTTTGCCTCTTTTTCTTACCATGGCGCAGTCGTCAAAAGCTTTTCGCGAACCTTAGTTGCTAGTTTGAAGTAAGGCGTCTTCCAGAGAAACGTCGTCAAGCTTCCTCACTGATAGATCCCACCTGTTCACCATGGCGGCAAATATTCATCCCACCCCAAATGCAAGGCGTACAGGCCTAAATTGTGATTCCGGAGAACTATACTTGCCAGGTAACGTTCTACTTGACGCAAACAATGCACATGGGCTCCTCTCGCCTGGGGATGGCGTACTATAGTGAGCAATAAGAGCTCGAACACGCGAGTGCGTGGCGAATAGCCTGGTACATCGACTGAGTCGCAGCGGCCGTTTTCGCAAGCAAAGTGGAAAGGGGACGGGCTTCTGGTATCTGTTGACACTCCCGTCTTCTTGCTGCAAAACGGCGGCTTATAGCACATCAGTGGCGGCCAGTCGTGATACAAACTCACATAACGCGATCAGCCACACTCAATGACCGAACTGGCTATGTAGCTGCTGACATATTGACTGTGACGTAGGCAGCTGCGATGCCATGCCTGTATTATATGTATACGTAGGTGGTGCTCACTGCACATCTTGATACGCGTCTTTGACTTTTTGTTTCACGCATTTTTCTTCGCGTTATCGCTAGCGGCAGACTGCACGCAGTTTGCCCGCAGCGCTAGCGGAGGGGTACTGCCAACCGACAGTGTAAGAGCACCCCTCCTTTCCCGTCCAGTAAAGGCAGTGCCATCCACGTATCACGTTATCTCAGTTATGAGGTTATTTGCCACGCGTTCGCGTGTTCGAGCTCATATTGCTCACAATAGTACATTCTGCCTCGGTTCCTGCCAAGCCGTTGGCACCTCAAGCATCATCCGTAGACGGCGTCCCGGCCACGGTCCAGGCCTCCACGGTTGTTCAACCTCACTTCATGGACGCCGCAGCACAAGTGCGCGACACATCACATGGGTTCCACTTGGCAGGAAACGTGAATTACGCCTTCGTTAGCGAAGATCTCGTGCTTCAAGACGGTCAGATGTGCGTTTTCTAGGGACGCCGTCCATCCGTCCTTCGCCTCGTATTGTACCAACGTGAATGCCGGAGTTGATGTATCTTCCACAGACGCCGGCCCTGGCTCGCAATGTGCGTCACCTGACGGCGCCATGGATCTGCATCATACCTTCACACAACTCCGTGTCACGACTAACGCCTTCATAGCGTTGATCTCTCTCACTTGCCCCGCCGTGGTGGTCTAGTGGCTAAGGTACTCGGCTGCTGACCCGCAGGTCGCGGGATCGAATCCCAGCTGCGGCGGCTGGCATTTCCGATGAAGGCGGAAATGTTTAGGTCCGTGTGCTGAGATTTAGGTGCGCGTTAAAGAATCCCAGGTGGTCCAAATTTCGGGAGCCCTCCACTACGGCATCTCTCGTAATCATATGGTGGTTTTTGGGACGTTAAATCCCACATATCAATCAGCGTTGATCTCTCAGCTGTCTCATGCCAAGATTGTGCGCAATAATAACATGTTGGCTGTGACCACCTCAAAAACATTTGAGGCTAGCTCACTCGAGATGCGACGCGCGCTACGGCGTTGCCTCACGGAGCTCACAGACGAACTGGGCTGCATAGTCTGAGCACACTCCAGATTTTTACCCGCTGTGTTTCGCGGATTTCAGGAGAGCCTGTTGGAAACAGTGTTTCGCGGATTTCCGGAGAATGGCTACAATTGGGTGGGTGCCAAAACTCTTGGAGCTTGCGAGACCTGGTTGGACTAGGAGAATTCTTGGGTGGCCACAGACATCCTTCGCAGTGTTGCCAAGAGGTAGCACAAGTACGAAGGCGCTGAGTGAAATTCCTGGGTTGAATGGTGTGCCTAACTCTGCTATTTTGAGTAAGGTTTCACACTTTTTTGATCACCATTCCGCGACAGACGGGGCTCGCGATCTGAACCAACTCAATAGATGAGCTCTGCCCTGTATCATAGAGCCATCTCTCGGTGGCCTACTTCGCAAGGAGCACCATCCTTATGGTCCTTCTGGCTCAGGTAGCACCTCCACGGAAAGCGTAGGCGGCACAGTTTCGTTTTGCATCTACCAGCCTTCTTCCATAGATCAAGATTCAGAAAAGCAGGAAACGGAATTTCCATGTGCAGCCTGCATCGATCTCCTGCACAGAAGGGCAAGCGACCAACACATGCCGCAAGGAGAGTTCATTGCTGAGGATCTCAAGTACCTCGACGGCACCAGAGACCAGAACCGTAGCAGAGTGTCTCACCAAAGCCGGATCCTCTTGTGGGTCTCTTGTGGTGCACTTTACTCGAAGGGGTCTGAAGAGCAGATGGCGCATATCACTGTGCTTGCAGAATCACTGGAGCAGCTTCTGCTAATTCAAGAGCATTCGTTGAGCCAATGGGACCTCGATTACCTCACATTTAGCGACAAAGGTCTGTAGGACAAGCGCACAAAGTTTGCACTGCTGTTAAGCGCAAAACCCAATGACATGCCATCTTTTATCACGAAAACGTTCACCTTGCGAGCTGCGTCCAGACCGTCATGCACGACACAGCCGATGCCCGCTGCTAAGTATGTGGTTGCTAGCTATGTAGAAAAAGTTCATGCGTAATCAAAACCGACCGAGCTGGTGCAGCGAGGTTCGTCCTCTTGACACACTTCTGTCTGTGCAAACCAAATCTCAGCGTGGCCGGTACAGTCCACCCAAATCTAGTCATTGTCGACCATCAGAAGCGTCCTTGGGAAAACACTGCGGCAAGCGCAAGCGTTGCATCTACGAACCACAGCGCCATAGCCAGCATCGGTCACCAGATACATTGTCGGTGGCTTGCTTATTCGCAGTCGTGGGCAAGTGTGATGACATTTAGCGGCAGCGTAGTCTGGGCTTTCATGCTCGATAGGTCAGACAAAAAGGAAAGTGAGGTCGCAACATAGAGCAGTTGGCCTAGGGAACGGGTGGGGTCTTTGTTCTTGTTTGTTACACTATGTAATGTTTTAATATCAGACATCCGGCACTGAAACAGTTCATGGTTCATACCAATTAGGCCTAATTAGAGTGTCTTTCCGTAGCAGTTTCCCGCCTTGCATGGTGGTTTGCCTCCTCCCGCTTGCAACACACTTCTCTCTCACCTCACCAATTTCACCAACCACAACGCTCGACCACACGGCGAGTGGAAACACTCTTTCGGCTCGTTTATCTGCGAGAAAACTCACACAAAACTCAACTCGTCTGCCGTGTTTCTGAGATTCAAAGAAACGTTTACTTGAGTAGAGGCTACACCGAGTTTTGTTTCAAACCGTTATTCCAGCACCCGCGTTGAAGCCCACTTCAGCTGAGTCAACGGCAGGCGCACCGCTGCTGTTTTGCGTCCCATCATAATTTTCTTCGAGGAAACGGTCCGTATTTTTGAAGTTGTCTACGTAGCGCTACCAGAACTACCGTCATCGCAAACACAAACACTACATATAAGCTTACCTCTTTTGGTGTTAGTAATACCCATTTGCTTGCATTTCTACACAGCTATAAACAATTAGTTCTCTAAAACATTTGTGACTGCTGAACATATGTATATACAAGTATTGCACATATATTTAGCCTCATTTTTAACTGCTTCGCTGAGTTAAAAAATTACACCACATCCACCTTCCCGCTGACTTAGCATAAAAATTGTGGCTCAATGTGCGTGGGATCTGTGCATACTCTTTTTTTTTAATTTTTGCCTCCGTTAGTGAACCCCTACATTTCAATAGAATTTCGAAACTCTATATTTCTCCCTGAATGCATTGAATAGTGTACCTTCGTGTTGCAATTGAGTGAATACTGTAACGTAGACACGCACACGAAAAGCTGCACTTGACCCCCTTGATGCGGGCATGGCTCCTAAACATTTATTGTTATTTATTTTTATTTTCTGTTTCTGATGAATCCAGCCTGCCTCTGCTACAAAAAAAAAAGAGTGTCCCGTACCTCGGAGAGTACCATACAGGCGTCTACGTCTACATTGAGGGCCAACAACAGAGGATGCTCAAACGTTAAACGGTGGCCTAAGCGTTGTTCTGCAAGAACTAAGGGCTGCCTAACACGCAGTATATAATAAACTACATATGCCCACAGCACTGAATTTGTTTATCACCGCATCGTGCAGGAATTCGTCCTTTGTAGGACGGCTCGACAAGCTTTGCAACACGACTGGCGGGTAAGCGCCGTCATCTTCCTGAAAACAGCCTTGTCTGACGCGACACTCAACGCAGCTGTTCATCCTCCCACAAACAAGCTCCTTTCTGGAAAATGCAATGAGCCCGCGCGTCGGTACACGTAAGTCTGCTGTGACAGTATTAGTGTTTCTAAACATTAACGATTCAGTGACACATACATGATCTTTCGCAGCATAGCACGGCCGCCGCCATGTTTGATCAAATGGTGGTGACTGGTCTTGGGCGAGTGAAGCTGCCATGCGCGTATCACACGGGCTAGACGCCACCGGGTGCAAGAAAATCGCAAGCTTGCACAGTTTTCCTCACCGTGAGCTCTAGAACACAGTAGCACCAATCATATTGCTAGCTTAGTGCTACTATAAGCATAAAGCTAGCTTAGTAGCGCTAAGCAAGCATTAACACTACAAATTTTCAACAATGTCGTATTATTAATATTGGTTTGTAGTGATAGGTATAGCAGCGTTTTTTCAACACTAGCGAATAAAATTTAGTAGTACATTAAATGGATGAGCTGATTAAGGTTTCATTAAGAAGATAGTGAATACAGCATGTTCGTTTTTCATGATGTCATAGGTCAAAATTACCGAGATAAAAATATAACGGCTGAGCGTACCGAGTATGTTCTTTCCCCGAGGAGTGTTAAGACCTCCAAAAGAGAAGGTGTGAGAATGATCCGCAGTCACAATGACCAGAGTGTCACCGGAGGCCCCGAACTTCTCCAGCGCGTCGTCCACGGCCCGGTCAAGCTCCAACATTTCTTCAAGCGCAAGTCCAGCGCGGGTGGTATGGTGAGCATGGTCAATGCGACCACCTGCGAACAAACATGGCCGGTGAATCAAGAGTTGAACAAAAAAAAGCTCGTCTGGTGACTAATCACAGACGAAGACTAAAAACACTTTAAAAATAGCGCAGACGTTTCGGACCGTGTACGGAAGGCTTGGCCACATTTTTTTTGTGAATGAGGCCTCTGTAAGGAAGCCAAAAGTCTGTGTTCTTTTCAAAGTGTCTTTTGTAGCACTTGTTTTTACCTCTTGACCAATATGGGTACTGTGCAATGCTCTGACACCCGGAATGCGAATAAGTAAGGCTCATGAAAAGCATATATGGGGCAATGTAGCAATGGCGTAAGCTCACCTGCTTTGAGCTTTGTGCCGTATTCTAAGTTGGCGTGCTTTTCGTCTTCAGGTGCTCTAGCTATAAGTGCATGTACACTATAGTGTGTATGTAGCCAATGCTGATGTAACGTGCTTCATACACTAGAGCTACAAGACAATAATTATTTCATTGATATGTGGGGTTTAACGTCCCGAAACCATACGATTACGAGGTACACCTTAGTGGAGGGCTCTGGAAATTCGTTCTACCTGGGGTTCTTTAACATGCACCCAAATCTGAGCACACGTGCCTACAGCACTTTCGCCTCCATCAAAAATGCTGCCGCCGCAGCCGTGATTTGATTCTGCACCCTGCGGGTGAGCAGGGGAGTACCCTAGCCACTACACAAATAATTAGCGTTTGGATTTAGGTTTTAGGGGTTTGGTATTGTAAGGCGTTCAAAGCACCTCTGTATGTATGCGTTTAGGCGTAGTGTTGTGAGCAAGGTGATGAGTCGTGACTGATTCGGGCGAAATCCCGAGGCAGTCACCACTTGACAAGGCTTTTCAGTGTGAGAGTGAACCAACCAGAATTTTGTCCTTGTATGTAAAACGTATTATTTCAATGACGAAAGTCATGTAGTGCAGTAAAGCTGCATTCGCTGTGTTCCGGAGCCGCTCGAGCTCTCTTAATTTCGATGGAGTGTTAATGGGACACATTTCGGGAAAGATATAACAGCGCGATTTGAATGTAGGTAGAAGGTTTGATCTGAATGGCCATACTTCGCGATAATATGACGAATACTGACAGTTTATTGAATATGTGTGAGCGTCTGCCAGTTCCACGAGGATTTACCAAATCGTGTATTGAAATATAGGCGTACATGTAGATGTCGATGTAGATCCTAAATATCTGGATCACACCCACGGCAAGTGATAGGGAAAGTATCCAGTAACCTAACAAAATAAGGAATATCTATATTTAAATAGTAGCAAGAAAAATCATAACACAATTATTGGATTTTTGTAAATTATTCTTGAGAAAAAAGAATGGTTGTATCAGTTCCTACTGAAATAGCAATAAATGATTGATATCAAAGAGATTTTTTCTGTAGTCTACACTGGTTAACTGAGGACCTCTTAGTGTTGAGGCTATGAAGTAAGTATATTCCACTGTTCGATTAAATTATGCACGTCCTCAAACACCTTCCCGTTGCTGTGCCCAAGAGTATGTGCACCAACACATAGTAAATTTGACGTTATCAACGCTAATCCAAGGATTCGTAATGATATTCCTAGAGATAACTTTCTTAATGTTGAAAACTTTTGAAAAAAGATGAAGATGTGCTCCACAGTTTTTCCTCTTCATCTTCTTCAGCGCACATTACGAAAGCGCTGAAGCTCCTTTTTTTTAAATGCGAATGCACTTCTTATTCTGGCTATGTCAGACATCCTGCTTTGTCCACGGCGTCTGCGGCTCTCCGCTCTCACGCCCACTTCTGTAGCAACAGCTGCGGGCACGCACGCTTATTCAAACCCCTAGCAACCAGAGAATGGGTTGCGGGTAAGTCTAGGAGAGGGTAAGTGCAGTGCTTCGCCGCATCCTCTCGCCGTTCACTCTTTCTTATCCCTGTGCCCACGTTCCCGTCCACTCGCACCTCACTATCGGCCGTTCGCTGGCTGGGCACCTCTGAATAACACCCGGAAATGTGTGCTCGAGACTCCGTTGTAAAAAGCCAACGGAGAGAGCAGAACACTTACTGTTCTGTTCACTTCATGTTAATATTTTTGGCCGTGCACGCTAGCTGCTAGAACTGGAAACGCATGCCGCGTTGCTCGCAACTGAAAAAAGCCACGTGCCGAGAACGGCGCTATGGGCTGCATGGTGTAAAAAAAAAACTGGGGGACCCTTAAGCTTCGCCTGTAAGGGTCGAACACAGTAGCGAAATCCGGCCCCTAGTGCGCCCCTAAAACGCTAAGTGCATATATGTTTTGTTACAGACACGCATGCACGCGCGCACACACACACACACGCACACAATAGATTGTACCAGCCACGCGCGCGCGAATGGTACATACAGCTTTTTGATCTAGAGCAAGAGTCGCATGGCCTTCAATATACATGGTGCGCTCACCATAATGGAGGCCATAAAGAGTCTCACAATGCCTCACAGATAGCTGCACATTGCCTATCATTTGCTGCTTGTTTGATCAACGCCTCTGGAAAAGCATGTTTTCCGCTTGATGATTGTAGTTGTCCATTTTTAGAGCTCTTTAAAGTTCCTGTGTGTTTAGCGGTGATGTGTGTTTAGCGGTGACTATTCCGGCCTTTTTCGACGTAGTTTGAGGCTTCCCGAATGCGCCTACAAATCGCCGACTGAGCTCGTTTTCGTTGTGATACCTATCGAACAAAACGCGTTAAAGGGGCCCTGAAACAGTTTTTCAAGAAAGTATGTAACGAATTCACTAGACGAGCTTATTGTCTGACGAATTCAATGCCGCAAAAATTTTAAGAATCCCTCCAGTGCGAGTGGAGTTAGAACGGTTTGCCGCATGCTACAATTGCACTATCTCTTCTCTCGTCCCGAAGAAAGCGCTGGAAGCTAAGCAGGGGGGGGTAGCAGGGGCAAAGAAAATACCACGCCTCGTGACCTTGAGCACTTTTTTCTTCGAATGCGCAGCTTTTTGAGTGTGATCGTGAGCGCAGGCGTGGACAAGTAGTGGCATCTCGCGGCAATCTCTGTAACGTGCTCTTTCGTTCACAGACGCACAGACGATTTTTCGCTCACAACCAACGGGGCCGACACTGACGGCGGTATTTCCGCGACACGAGCTCTCTAACGCTAATATGTTGAAACGCTGGGTGCTAACATGCGAAACCCCGTTATGGACCCTAGGCAATGCATTTGAATTTTCTCGTGATTCCCTTCGGGGAGTTGAGGGATTTTGTTTCTTTTGGCATTCCATCACTGGGCTGTTTGAATATGAACATATATTGATGAAAATTCAGCGTTAAGTCAACAAGCGTGCTCCTCGATGACCCAGAAGTTTGAGTGTATATTGTAATATATCGAGTCAGGTGGGTCCGCAGCGACGCTATGCTACGCTGTAGGCAAATGGTTTTTAAGAGACTTCAGTTTTCAAGGCAATCAAAGATTGAGCTTCCCCGCTTCATAAAAATTACCACGTTGTGCTAAAGGAATTAAATGATATATGTTTGCTGCAAAGTCTAAAAATGAAGTCAGATGATGTCACCAGAATTGCCAGATTTGGCAACTTTACGCCAGGTTGACTACCTTGAAAGGTCGCAGCAAAAAAAAATATTACATTGGCTACTTGGCTACTTTTTGGTTATTATTCTGGCACTGGCACCAACAGATAACATACGCTAAAACAGAGAGTAACTATAAAAAGATATTAAGTGTTCATTCACAGTGCTGGTTACGGCTTCCTCGGGGTACTCGCATTTTTTTTACTCAGTTTACCAGAAGCAATTGCGTGCTCCCGGAACGCGCCGCGGCTGCCATGGTTTTCACATTATCAATGGAGCTCATGTAGGTTAGACATGAACACCAGTTGCTTTTCATGAGGCTAGTTGGTCAAACAAGGTAAAAGGTAAAAACAAAATCACACCACATTAACGGAGCGCATGATGATGGGTGGGGCGAAAATTCCATCCATCCGTCCACTCTTCCGCCGATGCGTCAGTCTGTGCGACCGTCCATGCGTCCTTCCTTCAGTCCTTGCATGTGTTCATGCGTCCGTCCGTGCATCTGTCTGTCTCTCCGTCCGTGCGTCCGTCCATTGTCGGACACAGCCTCTCCTTATATGAACGCGTAAGCGTCAGTAACAAGAGGGACCACGACGCTAAGCTTAGCTACGTGCTCTTTTTAACTGACCTTTGGTACACCAGCCATGAATCCAACATGTAAAACTGGTCAGCCTTCGAGACATGTAAAACTGGTCAGCCTTCGAGACACTACTGACCTAAGCATTTGGCCAACAACAGGCTCGCAAGCTACACGCTGATCAGTGTCTATGCCACTGAGCCCAGCAGTATGGCGAGGCATTTCCCTGTTACACTGATGACGTCCTACACCCCTGCAGGCGGGTCAACACCTCTATGCCAGAAGATCGGCAACACGCCAGCCCACCTCACCTCCAGTTTATAGGCCCCAACCCTGCTTCTCCCATCCCTGAACCGCATGGTGATTTCTAAAGTCAGGAGACCGACGGAATCCCGTCTGGTCAGGGACAAAACTGGTGCAATAGAACAAAAACCTAGGTGAAATACACAATAACTAACGAAGATGTTTCGGCCCCCTACACGGAAACCTTGTTGACAGTGACAGCACACGCCGTAGTCGCTATCTTTGAGCACGTGTTATCACGTAGTAAGAACACCGTGCCTACAGAGGGGGCAGGGTCCCAATATTTCTGTTCAGTGTATGCGCAGTAACCGCCGGAATGGTCAAAGATTCCATGTGGAATCGCGCAAATAACATTCTTTCCATCACAATGATGCAGGTGTTATCCTGTTTAGTGTCATGTTCAGTAGACGCGACGTTCTCGGCGGGGCATTAGAAGCCTCTTCTTCTTGACGTCATTTAAATGTTCCCGGAGCCGTCTTTTGTAATTGTCTCGCCAATATATACATGTTTGCCGTCTTCGAAAGGAATTTTATGCACTACAGCGGAAAAGTCGTGTCTGTCCAACTTATCCTTGACATTTCAGAGTCAGCCTTTGAGCTTCCGTGCTGAAACGTGAGCCGCTTGCACGTCGTAGCCGCTCGAAACCCGAGTGAGAGGTTCGCTCTCCCAGGCTTCAGCCAAAGCTCTCGCTCTGTGTAGCAATGTTCATAACAATAATGCCCCGCACCTTGTCCAGTTCGCGTTTTTCTTTATTTGTTATTCTGCGTGCATGTGAATGCATGCAGTGAGTGAGTGAGTGAAACAACTTTATTCGGTCCACAATAGACGCGAGTAAACTCAGCGTCACCTGGCTAGGCCCACTCGGGGACCATCAGCAGTAGTTATTTTTTTTAAACTTGACATCGACGCAAGAGTGACTAGTTGAATTTTGTTTACTATTCCACTAGTGTCTTACTCTGTGTGTAAAATGAGCCCATTAAATTCGCTTCAGCACTCAATTTTTATTTATTATTTTTGTCCCCTTCATGACTTAACCAGTGCTTTATTGCTTTAAACATTTGCCCCGCGTAGACTACGTCCTCATTACCTTGAGTTTAGACCGCGATCTTGTTGTTTGACGCTCGTATCAAATTATGCTGTCAATGTTGTTTTGAGACTGCTGACGTATTTTCTAATCACCATTCCAAGCGATTGTGTGATTTCACCAGCGCTGAAAAGCCGCATATGCTTGGTTACTTTTAATACTCTGACGAAGGCCATGTCTCAGCTGAAACGTTAAGCATAAATGTTTTCGTCTCTCGTATACGTGCACCCGCTTGTGAGTAATATGACTTCCTTGTCCCGTACATCTTTATTATAGAGGCCGGATTTATAAGCACCAGAATCGCGTTTTAGACGCCAATAATAGGCAAGGAAAACAACGTTTTAGGCAACCAGAATAGGCAGGAAAAACCATATTTCAAACCTTCAAAATCGTAAACAAGGGCACCATAAAATTTTAGGTAAACGGCATATAATTTTTAAAATAAACACGCTTGTGACCTGCATTAACGACAGGAAAGCCAGAAATGTTTCTCGATGGCACAAAGATGGCAAAAGCCGAATATTGCCGTGCACTAGTCCTGATTGCCGCACAGATTACCACACAGAGTGTGGTGGTCTGTGCGGTGATCTTTTCATCTCTGGCATAGCCGGTCAAGCGTTCACTGTGGAATGAACACACTCTTAAGTAGTATTTCTTTTCGATATGGCAAGTCCAACGGGTCCGTGAAGCAGCCGAAAGGCTAGGTCTGTCGGTTCCAACGTCGGAGCGGCCAAGTTTGGGCTAGTACACACTTTCGATCTATTGGAACCCGATAAAGTTCTTTCATCGATCCATTTATCCAAGCACACGCAGAGGAGCAGATAGTCAAACCATTATAACACCAGAAGAAAGCGACTCCTCGTGTTAGCATGGTCTACTCGCATAGGATCGATTTGCCCCGTATATGAAAACCTTAAAAAGTACATATTGCAAACAAAATGAAAGTCGCGTGAATATGGCATTTTCTTTTCAACTCCAATCTTTCCCCTTGGTCTCCCCATGGTTCCGCATTCGCCAACCACTCGCATCATGTCAACACAGCGACGTATGGTGGCCGGCTTGTCCCATTTCACTGCTGCTAGCGCTTGTTCTGCGTAAGTTGGTTACGAAAAAAAAACTATGTTGAAGTCAACAGAGTTTCGAGTAGTCCTTATTTCATAGTACCATGAACATTTTTAGTACGCTTGGCTTTCAACCTAAAGAGTATAAGGCGAAAGCGTAATCGGTCCTTGTTCTCATGACCTTCTCAATCTGCTACTCATTGGGCATATAAACAGTGCCGCAAAGAAAGAAGCTCCTGTGCACCTCTAAAGTAGCCCTTTAAACTATGTATCCTGTAAATACTACTGCAAGTACAATTGCGAAGTGCACACTACGACATCATCCTTCCATTTGCGAGTTAGTGGGATATCTACTGCGAGTCCATAAACGACACGTGCACCTCTGCTGCTGCACACGTTATTGATACTTATAATTATAGATCTCTGTGGGCTCCGTGACTTTTTGGGCTTAGCAATCATTGCGCAACCCACATGATTTAACGCTTGTGTAATTCTACGCTTCTGCAACACAATATTACACACGTATCAATGACGCTCCTCGCACTATGCCAGTCATTTTTTTTTTCAAAACTGTGGCATAACACCTGATTGCCATAAATAATGTATGGATCAGTTTCCTTTCAAGCTAAATCATTCATTTTATGATTTATTTGTTCCACGTTCATCATTGAATTTTCGCTCACAGCAGCGCTCATTGTACGCTCACAATCAACGACGCCGACGACACCGAATTTCTTTGAAACGAGCTTTCTAACGCTAATACGTTAATAACGATGTCATCTGAAACTGCACTCTAAAACAAAATTTGAGGTTATATAGTGTTCATGTAAGCTCCAATTTTAATATGATGCATTTATAGGCACTTATAGTACCGCCAGAAATACACAATTTTAGGGAATATAAACGCAGTATAAAGCACTTCTTTGATATTTAGGTAATACATATATATCAAAATGGAGCGATATCAACACATAAAGAAAAAAAGGCACTTGCTTAACATCCAGTCTCTAAAATTCATTCTAAAACACTTTCTACCTGTATTGTGTGGCGTGTAGCCGCATATAGCGGCCCGAGGTATGCAGGTATGCGCCATCGGCTACGGTTTCATAAAACTCCTACTTATTTCTTTAAAGACTCGAGTGCTCTTTGAGGTGTTGTGTCCCGGTTTTTCCGCTACAACTAATTTAACAGAATGTTTATTGAAATTTATGGCTCTACTTTGACAGAGCAGAAGTTTTATCGCTGAGTAGTCAGAATTAGCATGAGCGGTTCGAACTCAGATTCTAAGTGTCTTACCATATGTGCACGTGCAATGGCGCAACAAGCACTGATATTCTGACATGAACAACATACAGTTTCCCTAGAAAATTTTAATTCAGGAATTCTGACGTAATAAATAAATATGTGCACTAACCTTCAACAAGCAAAAGAAATCCGGTCGGTGACCTTTGCAAAATTTCCAGTGCCACTCTAGTCATCTCAGGTAAACTCGGTTTGGTGGTCTTTAGGCTTCGCCGCTCAAACGAATACGGAAGGTGGTCGCTGTCGAAGAGGCCTAAAACAAAAGCGAAGCATTATTCGTAAGGGGACAGAGAAATAATTTGAAGTGAAAGAATACCTACCAATGGTACGAAAAATGAGTGGAAAGTTTTTCCACATGTCAGTAAAACAATAAATCTACAGAATATAGTATAGAAGAGCTGGCGCTACAAACTAGACTGAGTGAGTCGAGTTCGAACATAACTTGTTGAACCAGGCAAAAACGAATGGCAGAAACAAAACGAGGGCGCGGCGCTACCTGCTTACAACAAGAATTTTGATGGGATGCTCTTGCCTCTAGACGTCGCTAACGTTTTCATGACGAGTATTCCTAGCGCGGGCGTTTAACTACATTAGAGCCGCCAAAAGGACGCCTTCGATGCCACCTTGGCCGAAGGCCTCGCCACCGTGACGGCTTCGACCACCACATACTTTCTGGACATGATCATTGGCTCATCGGCCACCTCACACGAGAGAGGCGTAAAGCTCTTGCGTTCGCTCCTCCAATTGTCACAACACCTGTGACACCGATGTTTGTATGGCGACCACCAATGCGCTCGGCTCTTTCTACGCCAGACAAGGAAATAAAGAAACGGCTGGTGTTGGCAAGGCACAGCACAAGTAAACAAGATTAAAAGAATGGCACTAGCGGGAAAGTGCTAGGCCCAGTTATGTTATGGCGAGGTTCGTCACACAAGAAAACACAAGCAGACTTCTTTCGTAGAGTTACCATGTGAATGGCCACACCCTAGACTTCAGCCGCAGCAAACTATTCTTGCTAAACTGCTGTCCGCTGCAGCCCATAAAAAGAGCTTGGTGGAATGACTCAAGGGGAAAACGGAAACAAGCTGCAAGGTGGGCACGGCAGTCATAATCTCACGCTTGCCGTCTCGATTCATAACTTTCTTGGGAAACAGTAAGACAGTGCATCTGAGTAACACCAATCAGCGTTGTTGATCCCAAGCTTATGTTCCCATCAAGTCATGGAGAATACCTCCATCTGTAGAACCACCAGCCCAGAAATCTCTTCTCTTGATGAATTTTGATAACTGGTTGAATTTTCCACTCATCAAAAAGACGTGCCCGCAGATACCAAAAAGGTCCTTTCCGGCCAGTCAGTGTCGCATCTCTCTTCACACAGTCTTTGGCGAACTATGCGAGTGTTTCGCTCGGAAAAGCCATGGCAATCAAAAGCTTTCATTACCGAACATGAATGGTTGGTTTTGTTAGGATCATTAAGGGCTAACATGCCCAGGTCTATAACCCCCCCCTCCACCGCCAGGACTACGGAACAGGATTTGGCATGTCCGGCTACACTGTATGCAAGTCAGCTGTCCACGATGAACACTTTTGGATCACCTTATGAACGTTGCGTGGCTTGACGCGGAAGTGGCCGTAAACGTCAGGAGATATACTAATGATCCTTCGGACGGAAGACAGCTCGTTTGAAGCAATAAACTGCGTTTGAACTACGCAGAAAGTTGCATCGTCAGGTGGAACTACGGTAACAGCCACGCGAGTAGACGTGAGTAATTAGAAATCATCTTCCGTGATGATGACAGTAAAAAAAACTAGCTCATGATGGCAGTGAGACAGGAGCAGCTGCCAATTCCTGATGAGCAGGTCTCACAGTCTGCCGTACCTCGCAAGCATGATACCTTCGGCAAGCACTTCCCTGCTCGACACGCTAATATTGATAAACGTAGTTGGAACCTGGGCCCAAAACTGCGATTACGTAAGCTACTGCTATTCGTGGGACGACAATGACAACACAATGAACGGCGTCCAGCAGAGCTATCTCAGCCTATTTTCAAGGCAAATGGCAACATGACCACGACCTGATCTCCAGCAGACAGCCAGTGTCACCTGCCAGGCGCTATAATGTTACCGGATGTGTTTATAGGTTTGAGAAGAGCTTCACACACTCTCAATGCCGTCCACCAGAAGCATTAATATTACAGATGCCGATGCAGGCCTTTCTTCAGTTTGATTTTTCTTTTTTTTTAATTTAGCTGCTCAAAAAAAAAGAATTCCTAGTAGGGCAGTGAAGTTGCAGAAAAGTAGTGTCATTAATAACGGCTAGGAACCATGATTAGTTTCTCGGCAAGAATCTGCGAATGCCCTCCACAAATAATGGTTTGTGATAATACTGTTGCATATGCTGCCAAAAAAATTGTTTCTAAGCTGATGCGTTTGCTTGTTCAGTTCTTTGTTAAGGGGTTTATACCGATTTCTAAAATGGGCTGCCTAATGTAAACATTGTGCAGTACTCGTAAGGTTATCGTGGTGTACAGAGGCACATTGGAAAAGTTGGACGCACACGCATTATTCTCGTAGGAGTGACAAAGATTTGTTTTAAATATATCGTGTTTCACTCACCAAGGAGGTAATCGGTGTTGTTGGGATTGAGAGCGTGGAGCTGCTTGCGGTTCCAGATGTACTTGACGTGCGCCGAGTGCGACTTCTTTTCATCCAACCAATCCTTGATAAGGTTGCGGCCATCCGAGCGCTCACCTGGTTTGTCTTCATCATCTCGGAGCCCCTTGTCTAGAAACGCAGCTCGACCACCACCCATGATCACCTGCGCCATTTATTCGGATAAAGGACGCGAAATTGGCCTTGGTTTTTTCGATATAATTGCATTTGTCAGCAGAATGAACTGCTACACAACAGCAAGTTGATCGAAATGCGGTGTGAAGCGTGGTAAATATTGTACCATGTATTTAAAAATGTGTCTTCATAAGAGCACTTAGACTTCTCTTGGACAATAAATGCGACATGTACTATTTGAATTGCTATTGCAGGGACATGGCATGCAGCGACGCGTGTAAACGAAGCCTTGAACGCTCGGAAATCTCCAATTGTGTAGCAGGGCGCGTTTCCCGTGAGACATTCACGCGCTCGCTGCCTCTGCTACTAGAAGCACTCTATTTGGCGAGGCTTGCATTAGACCGCCGCATTTTAAAGAGAGTGGACCTGGTTTGCGCACGCGAAAACGTAGCAGTGGCATAGAGCAGCGCTGCCTGTATAGTTCTAGTGGGCTTTAAAGTACCACAAAATTGATTGTGGGACAGAAGCTGTTCTCTTTATGTAAGTACTTACTGAAGCTCGTATTGTATTAGAGTCGGCTGCGATTTACGCTTTACAGATTTAGTGCAAGAACCTACGTGAACTACTACCACCACCTCGAACCTGTTCAACTTAGATGGACGTAGTCCCTCATCTCCAGCCTTGCTTTTCGCATATACGTATTGCCTGGGCTAAGAAACCAATATATTCTGCTTTTTTTTAATTGTAACTTTCCCATTGAATGAGCAGTACGGCAGATCAATAGCATAAAAAAATTGGCTAAAAGATATCTCGCCACTAATTACAACAAAATACAATCTTTCAGCAAATACACCTTCCATCTGTACCCGTGCAATAGCTCAGAAAATAGTTGGTTGACTTATAAACCTGAAATGTCTTCGCTTATCCGTAAGTATGTATTTTGTCTGTTGTACTTGATAATCATGAAAGTCTCAAGTACAACAGACAAAATAGAACTGGCATAGCTTTCGAAGTTGATCATTAGCCGTAAGGCATCCGACGCAAGAAGGTATAACATGGAGAGAATTGAACACGCTCTGAAAAACGGAGGAAGCGTCAAAGCAGTGAAGAAGAAACTTGGGATAGGCAAAAATCGGATGTATGCAATAAGGGACAAACAAAGCAAAATAACTACCAATATGAATAAGATAGTTAAAATAGCGGAGGAGTTTACAGAGATCTGTACAGTAGCCGGGACAACCACGACTTTAATACTATAAGAACTAGCAGTAACCCAGATGACACCCCACCAGTAATGATAGAAGAAGTCAGAAAAGCTTTGGAGAGCATGCAAAGAGGCAAAGCTGCTGGTGACGATCAGGTAACATCAGATCTGCTGAAAGACGGAGGACAGATTGTGTTAGAAAAACTAGTCACCCTGTTTACGAGCTGTCTCCTGACGGGAAGAGTACCGGAGTCTTGGAAGAACGCTAACATCATCCTAATACATAAGAAAGAAGATGAAAAGGACTTGAAGAATTACAGGCCGATTAGCTTGCTCTTTGTAGTATACAAGCTATTTACACAGGTAATTGCTTACAGAGTAAAGAAAACATTAGAATTCAATCAACCAAAGGAACAAGCAGGATTTCGAACAGGCTACTCAACAATCGACCACATTCATACTATCAATCGTATTATAGAGAAATGCTCAGAGTATAACCAACCACTATACATGGCCTTCATAGATTACGAGAAGGCGTTTGATTCAGTAGAAATATCAGCCGTCATGCAGACACTGCGGAATCAGGGTGTCGATGCAGTATATATAAACATCCTGGAAGAAATCTACAGGGGATTAACTGCTACCATAGTGCTTCATAAAGAAAGCAAGAGAATACCAATCAAGAAGGGTGTAAGGCAGGGGGACACAATCTCCCCAATGCTATTTACCGCGTGCTTACAGGAGGTTTTCAGATGCCTATAATGGGAACAGTTACGGATAAGAATTAATGGAGAGCACCTTAGTAACCTGCGCTTCGCCGATGACATTGCATTGCTGAGTAACTCAGGGGACGAGTTGCAACTCATGATTACGGAGTTAGACAAGGAGAGCAGAAAGGTGGGTCTTAAAATGAATCTGCAGAAAACGAAAGTAATGCGTAACAACCTCGGAAAATAGCAGCGCTTCGAGATAGGTAATAGTGCACTTGAAGTTGTAAAAGACTATGTCTACTTAGGGCAGGTAATAACCAAGGAGCCGAACCACGAGATTGAAGTAACTAGAAGAATAAGAATGGGGTGGAGCACATTTGGCAAGCACTCTCAAATTATAACAGGTAGCTTGCCACTATCCCTCAAGAGGAAGGTATATAACAGCTGTATCTTGCCAGTACTTAGCTATGGAGCAGAAACCTGGAGACTTACAAAGAGGGTTCAGCTTAAATTGAGGATGACGCAGCGAGGCAATGGAAAGAAAATTGGTAGGTGTAACCTTAAGAGACAAGAAGAGAGCAGAGTGGATTAGGGAACAAACGGGGGTTAAGGATATCATAGCTGAAACCAAGAAGAAATGGACATGGTTCGGGCATGTAGCGCGTAGACAGGATAACTGCTGGTCGTTAAGGGTAACTAACTGGATTCCCAGAGAAGGCAAGTGGGTTAGGGGGAGACAGAAGGTTAGGTGTGCAGATGAGATTAAGGAGTTTGCGGGTATAAATTGGCAGCAGCAAGCACAGGACCGGGTTAAGTGGCAGAACATGGGAGAGGCCTTTGTCCTGCAGTGGACGTGGTAAGGCTGATGATGATAATGATGATGATGATGATAATGATGTGTAATTGCGCAATATATGTTGGCCGGTTCCTCATAGCTCATTCTGTTGCTCATCTATGAAACAATCAAACAAACGCACAAACAAACAAATAGAATTATACGCGAGTCTTCGGAATTTGGTGTCCTTTCATTCGCTGAGCGATGGGAGTTTCATCAGAACTGTATAATTGAGCACAAGCGTGGACTTGAAGCGGTCAAAAGCACCTTTTTCGGACACCCTTCATTGCTGCGTGCAAGACGTAAGGAAAAACACAAAGAAAACCTCGTACTCTTCAATGAAATTGGAGATGCCGTACCCTCTGACATGGGCTAAGTTACTCTGAAGAACTCATTAAAAGTTTGCTTTCTAACGATCACTCTTTTTTATTTTTATATTTAATTAGCCCTGATTTTCAACCATAGTTTACTTCTCATTTAGTTTGTTTTGATAAAAACTATCACTGTTCAGTTTTATAATTTCCTTCTAACCTATTCGACTACTATTTTGGCTCTTATCTGCAAACGTCATTTACAATGTAGCGTGCTACTTAATGACCGGAAGGCTGTTGTGGTCGTGCCTAGAAATTAAATAACCCTTCGTGCGCTACAACTGCCGACCTAATCTTTTAACATGCTTTCGCAGGAAGGTTCTGGATCTCCCCATATATCCCAGCCTTGTGCTTTTCCTTGGATGTAAGTTTTTCATTAGCACATATGAGCATGGTTTTAGAACGCACATCTCGTGTAACATTACCAGCTGTGTTTCCTAACTACCCCGTCGAAAAGCTTCCGACTACGGTGTAGCATCGTCGTCTTTTCCTGAAATAATAGTCTCATTACCCTGGACATGTATACCTACACGAATTTAGTGTTATCATCCCAACTCAGGTGACATCGTGCTCATGATTCCTAGTAACTCTGTTTCGCCAACCTCTTCTGTCGCTTCATATGTGCCGCAAGGCTCAGTTATTATGCATTCTCTCCTTCACATTAATACTAACGATAAACCTTATACTGTACCGTCTGATATATGTGTTTTTACCTAGTGGGTATTTTGCCCCCTCCTTTTCTTTGCATACATAATTACTACATTGCAATTAAATAATGCAATTAACATTGTCTCGCATACCTTATATGGCTTCAATGCCTGTTGGTATTGTTAGGTTGCACGGGATAAAGAACAACCACCGAATGAGTTCCCTTCTTTTATTCAAACTCATTGAAAAAATTAGAAGAGTTGCTAGCGCTTCATTTGTGCTTTCCAAGTATATGTGCCATCGAAACTAGCCTTAGCCTGTTAGAAATACCAAGCAAGAAGCACCCCATAAAATTCGTCTTTCAGAAAATTTCTTTTACCAATGTTTTATTTCTTTTACCATATTTTATCAAATAAGAACTTCTCATACTTCAATATTTAGGAAACAGCGTTCTCGAATTTCAGGATTCAGATTGGTTAGTTCTAACCAACGCTTTTCGAACGTTGACTTGTAACGTCATGTGTTATGTGGTCCTGTGCGTACCTTATGGTCAGTATTTAGGCGTGCGTGTATTTTCAAATAAAGCATTGTGGCAAGTCAGCGCCGTAGTATGTCCTCCAATATTCTTTTGCCCGCGACGTGTTGGTGTTATTTCTAGATGTTCGCGTAGTACTACCAACTAACCCAGCTATTAATCCTCTGCAGAACCTTCTCGTACACCGCTTCATGAATCAAGGCTTGATGATGATAGATTGATTTATAAGTGGGGGTTAGCTTCTCAGAACCACCATATGGGTATGAGAGACGCCGTAGCGGAGGGCTCTGGAAATTTCAACACCCTCGGGTTCTTTATCGCGCACGCATATCTGAGAAAACGGGCCTACAGAACTTTCGCCTGCACCAGAAATGCAACCGCCACAGCCGAAATATGAATCACGGTGATTCAAACATAATAATAACCTAACCTAATGAGTACGAAACAACACAAGATGGCATTAGTATGGAATCACGTTTCCGCCTTGGCCACCAGAAACCAGGATTACATATCAATTGAAGGTGTTTTAGCTACCATTATCTGGAATGTATGTTGCCACTTTTCTCGCTAACGTGATTAGGCCTTATGAGTACTTCACAAAGCAAGCAAGCAAATGACTCAAGTTTGTGGTTTTTGTGTAGAACGTTGGCATGGTTCCGCTGAACAAATGTCGATTTTGTAAACGGTTTTTACAATTAAGTTTTTCTTATTGAAAACCCTCCTCAAAAGCGTAAAAGTCCAATACAGCCACGACAAGCAAATTGTTTGAGTAGTATGAGCAGTTTTGCTAGTTGCTATTGTAAAATGATTATGGAGTCATGAGCGAGAGCCGTGCAGACGTACGAGACAACTGTTCGCCCCACCCATGGTTTCACAAATTTCACCGCTGCACGAAAGAAAGGATGCGTCCATCTGTTCAAGATTACCTTGAATCGGGAACCAGGAGTGGACTGCATGAGTTGGCGCGCGATGTCTTTGGCGTTGCAACCTTCGGGCACGGACGACTGCCACTTGCGGTAGCCAGAATGGGCGTATGACGCGGCTGGCGTAGCGTCTGTTATTCTGGTTGTGGTCACGATGCCCGTCCACATGCCTGCCTCTTGGGCCCAATTCATGATGCTCGGCAGGTGGGTGGTCGGATCATTGTGGCACTGCAACCTCTGAGAGAAAATTGGTGCAAATTATTGAAACTATAGCCAACACACTTCCACCGCATAGTCAGTCTCATCATCATCATCAGCCTGACCACGTCCACTGCAGGACAAAGGCCTCTCCCATGTTCCGCCAGTTAACCCGGTCCTGTGCTTGCTGCTGCCAATTTATACCCGCAAACTTCTTAATCTCATCTGCCCACCTAACCTTCTGTGTCCCCCTGACTCGCTTATTGTGCCATAATTGCATAATGGTTCGAATAATATAACTGTTGGGACCGTCACCATGATGTTCTTTGCGGTCACCCACATGCTCCGAATTGGGTGACGTGGCCTCCCTCACCAGCTGCAATACTTCTAGAATAGCAGCCGTACACTCCTAAAAAAACTAAAAAGGTAGCGACTGCAAGCAAGTAGGTAGTAACTGCAGCGGTTGCGACATTTATTCGACCGTTACTACCCTTTTGCTACCGGTTTACTACCTACGTTAGTAAACAGTTACTAGCTACAACCATTGCTAACTTTTTGCGACCTATTTACTACCTACGTTAGTGAACAGTTAGTAATTGAAACGAAAGAGGAAGTAACTGCCGCCGTTACAACCTTTCATGCCCTGTTACTACCTCTTCGCTACCCGGCTTTTGACTATATAATCCAAAATAGTGTGTGAATGCTATTCTGATAATTTATGAGAGGAATTGTCTCAATGTATTATCATTAAACTAAAAATGACGCAGAAGGTATTTATAGATACAGAAAATATATTTTGTTTCAAAGTATGCAACCGAGATATGTAAACGCCATTCTGATATTGTTAGAAACGGAGAAGTACAAGTTGACGAGCCATAAGCAAGTGCTACACGCATCGTAATAGACAATTACAACAAACTTGGTAAATACAGCACATATTAACAAGACCGGCAGATCAAAATAACCAGACAGTCACATATAGCTTCAAGGACAGTCCACAGTTAATCCACTGCGACGTGTCTCCAAATATTATTATTGTTTTGGCGGAGTCAAACCACCAAAACGATTATTACCTTTTAAACGCTGATATATTAGTCATGTGAAGCATTCAAATGCACTGAGAATGAATTCAGTACTTTCTCCGGCCACTGTACATAATGCCTTTTCGTGGCCATTTTATAATGAATAAGTATAACATTATAATATTCTATAAGTGAGGCTCATTAAAAGTCTTGTGCTACGTCACCAAACAAACGTAAACAGGTAGTACTATTATAGTTCTAACGATTTATATTTGTTAAAATTGATCCAGAAACAGAAGTGCTTCCCCTGTGCCAGATATGCCCCTGCGAAGTAGGGGCTATATATACCCCACGCTTACTTCTTTCTACAAGTATCCGCAAAAAAAAGGATTCTTTCGCCGGCACTCGCACGCTGTCGTACGCAGGAATCATGGGCTCCCGCGGAGCAGCACAGGCGGTCCTTGGTGGCCGCGGAAACAGGATTACAGACGAAAGTGACAAGGATTTCGAGATCATCTTGCTGAATCTGCCAACAGGACGTATTGTTTTGAACACAGTGTTTTTGCACGGTGATATTCGAGTGAGGCCTTTCAAGGTCGAAGATTTCCGGGACGCCCTGGACAAGGAACGACTGCTTCCCGACGTAATTGCATTGGGCGCCTACCAGATCAATCATGTGTGGGCCGTCACCTTTAACAGCCAGGAGGCGACGAAGAGGTTGGGCGATTGGGCACAAAATGTGGTTTACACTACATGACAATGCTGATTTATATTGGACGATAGTTTAGCAGTTGATCTGTCATGCTAGTGTGTCAACAGTTTGTGGTGCCTTGACACCTACACATTGCTTGGTCAAATGCATAAGTGTGGTCTACAGCACCATGGGCTGAACGAAGGACAGCAGTATTTAATATTTTTTACCAGCAGGTTAGACAGTATGCTTGAGCCTACCATCTACTCGGTCTAATGGGCTATAGCGTATACGCTACAAACAAACAACATTTCTCTGGTTGTCCAGAGGGCCTGTGAACGTGCCGAGAGGCATGGCTTCTCTGTTCCGACATGGTACTAGCCGATGGCTGGGTGGGGATCTACTCAATTGGCCCTCTGTCTGGCCTCTCAGGACGAAAATAAAAGTCTGTCTGTCTGTCTGTCTGTCTGTCTGTCTGTCTGTCTGCCTGTCTGCCTGCCTGCCTGTCTGTCTGTCAGCCTGTCTGCCTGTCTGCCTGCCTGTCTGTCTGTCATTGCAGCTTGAATGGTCTAACCCATTCGATGTGCTACATTTATGCTGGCTCACGTGCATATGTTTTCAACTGGTGTTCCTCTTACTTCTCAAGTTTCTTGTATTTTGTGCTTGTCTCTGAATCAGGAACCGTCAGCGCTGTCTCTACGGGCCCTCAGGACTCCTGCTTTGCTGGGTTGCTCTCCCGGCGAAGCTTGCTGTGGTAGACATGGTAGTGGAAGCGTCTTGTAGCAGAGACCGACCTTCCGCCGCAAAAAAGCGCCTCAGCCTTTCAGTGGCATCGGGAGCTCCCGATTGCGAGCCTGATACTACATCGGATGACTCGGAGGCCTTCATACCTGCTAAGTACGCAACGCTTATGTCAACACGCAGGCCTATTTACCCCAGGGTGCGAATGTAACTGCTGGTTTTATATGTGAGATCGACCTAAAACTTCAAGATGATGTCTCAAAGGCTCTTATCGTTTGCATGCCTCCATGCGAAGTCATCAGCTTTCGCAGACTAGGCTCTTCAATGTGCGTGAAGATTGTTTTCGAATGTGGGAAGCTTGCAAGCCACATAAAGACGGTTTTAGTGCGATACCCAGTTTGATACTTTGTACCAAGCCATTGCAGTATCGTAAATCCGTGAAGCTTGGACATGTACAGGGTTTCCGCACAAGCGTTGTGGTTCGCACCAGATATGGCGAGAAGCACAATTAAAAATGTTGTGACAGCTCGACATCTCGGTGTCCTATACTTTTAACGGCTTGCGCTTGGCAGCAGACAATGAACGTCCAAATAGAAGACAAAATTAAAGGTTTTGAACGAAAAAGAGCGAAAGAGAAAGCACTGGTAGAGAAACACTCCATCGCAGTACGCGGCAGACGGCAAAACTGATATACCTACTTTATCGAAGTATAGTATCCGAAAACATACGTCAGAGGCAAGGGCAAAAGCAGAACTTCTCCCTTTCAGCAATATCATGGCCGGCGCTTGCCATTGGAAACGTCAGAGGCAGTCTCTGAAAAGATCCTTAAAATATCGTAGGAACCAGCTTCTAATAAGGCCCCGCCTACAGTGGGAAAGATTGTAAACAGAACTAACCTCGTCGAAGGCGAATGCCCATATTTAGAATCTACTTGAAACGTTTGTTAATGTCACTAGATAACTAATCGCCATTCGCCAGACACCAGCAGCACTAGCCACAGAATAGCTTGTAGGCGCGTGTCCCAATTCTAGATGGCCTTCACTGAAAACAGTATGAACAGTCGAAAGCCCCTGCCCCTTCACGCTGCAGTGGAATGTCCGATCATTACGGCCGCAGAATGCTGACCTGGTGCTAAAGCTCTTCGCAATGACCACCACACCTGATAATATAGCGCTTCAAGGAAGCCATGTAATCAAAGATGGCCTAAGACTTCCTGGTTTAGTAGGCGTTGACAGTAACCCGCAAAGCATAATGCGGACATGTAGGTCTTTCTCACGCACGCACGCCTCGCATTCGCGAAATTCATCAAAAGCTTCTTTATAGGTGCAAGTTGATGCACATTTCTCAGTTATTGAAACAAGTAATATCAGTTATGATAATTTTGAATGTACAGCTGCTGCTGCTATAAGTCTTAGAGACACAACTGCGATTGTGGCAAGCATGTACTTTCGACCCACGTGATTTTCATACGTCACATTACTGGGGTGTTTAATTTCTCGATACGGCTCATCATTTTTTTATGTGCGGGGACTTCGATGTTTACCATCGTCGCTGGTGTTCCATCCATGGCACATGACAGCCGTGGGGTGAAGCATTACTAAACTGATTATCAAGCATGATATGCAAACAATGACGGTTCATCCACGTTTATCGACAGAGGCAAGGGAACTTCTACAATCGACCTTGTGATATCAATCGAAAATGTATGCCTTGCCTGGTCATGTGAAGCTGATCCGTGGCGCTCGGATCACCTGCCAATTCGGTTGACTCCGGAGCATACTCTTAGCCGCAAGACAGCTGCCTGTATAGTGATTAAATGGGAAGCGCCATCGTTCGACTTGTTCAAACTAGGAGAGTTAGTGCTTACAACAAGCTAAAGTGCGACGAGTGAGAAAATGAAAGAAGACACGCCCTGATCTTGAGCTTTTAAGACTACGCGTGTGTCGATGTCGCGCATACAGGAGGGCCCAGTGCTCTCATCGGAGATCGAATTGAACGGTGTATAACCACTTGCGACACTTATACCAACTTCGTTAAAAGATCTGGGTTGTACTGTGTGATTCGCTGCATACAGGAAGTGGCTTTGGAAGTGTGAGCCAGATACTGAAAACACTTAGTGACCCAGATATCCGCAGGAATCCAACTGCAGCTTATGCATAACGAACGGATCACCTCCAAAAAATTTCGCGAAAAAGTTTGCAGATCTTTTGCTTGTCTTATATTAAGGAAAACAAAAATAGTGGCCTTGATTCCCAAATAAGTCCCGATACCACAATGTTGCCCTAAGGCCCTGCCTGTCAGACGAGAGAGAGATATGTGATATGAAGAAAGGCAGAGGGGTGCCTGTCGGATGGATGAAGCTGATTTTAACCTCGAGGAGCTGTGCCACGCACTGTGAATATCGTATCGCCGCACTTCCCCAAGTGAAGATGGTATTACGTACCAAGCCTTACGAAACATCGATGAAGCCTTCTATCAGTACATTTCAGATTAATATAACTAAGTATAGTGTTACGTCACTGGTCGAGAACTGCGCTTTGGCCCAAGTGAGGTAGACACAGGCTGACAAGCTGGCAGCAACGGGC